TTTTCTTTTTTTTTTTTTTTTTTTTTTTTTACTTGTTTAAATAAAGCGAATACTAAACATGCGTTAAAAAAATCGATTGTACCCCTTGATTAATTGAAACATGGAGGAGAAACTTCGTATGCATAGCATACAAACATAAAATACAGACGCATCTTATGTTTCCCATATCTATGCACTATAACAACGTATTTAATATAATCACATTTTTATAAAATATAACCAAAACTCTTGAGAACAGAGATTTTTAAAATATAAGTTAATTAACGTAAAAATAATTCAACGATTTATTATTGCTTTTATAAGTGCCCAACTTTTAGTTTATCGCAGTTTATTCACAGCAAAACTTGCAATGTATATAAATCGTATATTAAACGAAAAAAAAAAAGTGCACACTACTTAAAATACACAATTCTCGAAATTGATTTACTTTCTAGATTACTCATTGATTGCGTCTAGGAGTTAAAATTAATCTCCTTCAACACTATGTCGATTTTACATGGCGAAAGGTGTTCTAAGACAGCTCGATCAATTGTATGATAATTCCTCCTGATTTCATCATAAAATATGAGAAGTAGAAACGATGTGATTCATGGTGTTATTCGAGCATCGTTAAAAAATTATCAAAAATTATCACAATTCGCGATTCGTTTCCTTCAAGAAATTCTCTTGAATGTCTTTTTTTTCTTGTTTCTTATAGAAGAGGGAAAAGATAGTTTCTCCTCCAGGATAAAAGAGTTCGTATAAGTAATCAGTAAAAAAGAGAGACCGGCAGCGACGGAGGGAAACGAAGGTGGTCGTCAAGGAGTAAAATCACAGAAGTACTCGCGACGTACAGCGAGTGAAGGAGACCGAAGGTAAAAAGTAGGTGACGGTCGAGGATATGCCGGTTGAAGGGTCAGAGTATAGTGCATCGTGCAAGCCAACTTGGTGGTTTCCTCTGTGGCTCGGATGCTTTCAGCTGATGTCCTCCTCCCTTCGGTGGATTTGACGCCTCCTATTTTGAAATAATTTTATCATTAAATAATAATTTCGTATATTATATGAATCATTTAAAAAAACAATGATTCAATGTTGTTATTTACCTATTCTTTAGTTTTAATTATTTAATTAAATAATTTTGATTCATTATTATACATCAATTAAAATGAATATTTCATTATTTTTATAAATTTTTATTTATCAATTTGTTTATCAATTTTATGTAATATTATGTAATATTTTGTCGCGATTAATATACAGTTTTTCATAGTTTACGGAAATCAAAACACTTCAATTTCTGCTAATATCATAAAAACATGTTTTTATTAGACAAAATGTTTCTTTTTCAACAAATAAAATTCTAAAATTTTAATATTTGTTATAAATATATATTATTTAGCAAAATTTCAAAATTAAAATTTAACTGTAAATTCATTAAAAATACATTTTCATAAAATTATTTTCATTCGTGTAAAAATTTTGTTTTTTTTTTATTTTTTTTAATTTTGATTATTTTCTAAAAAATATTTAAAATAAAATTTAAAATAAAATAATTAAAAAAAATTTTATATATTATAATTTATAAAAGATTTAGGCAAGAGATTATAAATCTAAAATTTTAAATCTTGCTAGATAGAGATTTTAATTTAATTCAAATCTCGATTTTAGTTTAGATTCAAATTTTCTTATATATATTTTTTTTTTTTCATTCTTATGAATTATCATTTTTTTAAATTGTTTATTTTTCGAATAAACTCAAATCATCAAATATAGTAAATTTAATGTTTTAAAATTTTTATTACATATTATCTATAAAATCAATTTATCGATATTACAAATGCTCTCATATTTTGATGATTTTGATGATTTTTATTTAAATATGTTATAGACAACAAGATTTTGAACAACTTTCTTTTTATACATATAATTGATGTTCTATCTTAATTTAATTAACAAAAAATATAGCAAAAAATAGTTACAAATATTACTATATTAAACTTCTATACGAATCCATTATGTATATTTAAAAAATTTGTAAAATAAACATGGATGGATAGATAATCAATGAATAAATGCTAAGAAATGATTATATCCAAATTTTAATATAGCAATCATTTTTTACAAATATTTTAAAAACTAAAATAACCAGTTTTATATAATATAATATATATTATATATATATTTAATATTTATATATTTTATACAATATATATATATATATATAATTGTTCAAAATGTTACTTTCTAAAAAAAATCTTAAAAATCTTAAAATATAATATATATTATATATATATTAATATTATATATTTTATATATAATATATATATATATAATTGTTCAAAATCTTGCTTTCTAAAAAAAAATCTTAAAAATCCATAAAGATATCACACATCAATTCAATTCTGATATTAATAAAAATTTTTTAAATTTTATTTAGTTTCTCATTTAAAATAATTGGTTTCGAAAATCATGAAAATCAAAAATCAAATATATATAATAAATAAAAAAATTAGTTTCAAAATTGTAAACGCAATTAAATTGATATCTAATTTATTGTGAAAAAAATAAATTTAGAATTTTTGTCTTTTTAATTAAATCTGTCATTTTTTTAAATAATTGAAATTAAAAATGAGGCTCAAATTTAATTGAAAAATGAATTCAAGAATTAATAACTTTTTCTTTTTTATAAATGCACTTAAATAGATATTGACATAATTAATAATAAAAATTAAAATATTTTAATTTCTGTAAACTATTGAAGTTGTAAGAAATAATATTAATCATTGTACAATTTTACTATAACTTAACTATTATATATAAATTAAAAATGATCTGTAAAATATAATAAAAGAATTTTAAAGCTAACAACATTGAATTATTGAAAAACAATAAAAATAAAATTTATATATTTAACAATGCTTATATGAATATTAATAATTTCAATTATTTTTATACATAAATTTGTATCATTAATATTCATTATAAATAATTTTTAAATAACGAGAGATATTGAAAACAAAATATTTTTTTATTATGTTACGTTATATATCTTATATAATATTAAATTTTTGAATTATAATCTATGTAATATCATTTATGTAATATCCCAATATTTATATACAAATTTTTTCATAAAAAAATAAATATAAAAATACTGGGATGTTATCAAATGTTCAAAAATCAATAACAAGCATAACATAATTATGAATTAAAATCAAAATTAGTATTTGTAAAAATCTTTATCTTTACAATTTAGTTTTTGTGCTATAAAAATGATTCATATAAAAATATTTATATATATTTTTATAACAAAATCATAATTACCTCTGTTATTTTTAAATAATATTTATTTAAAAAATTTTTATTTTAAGCTTTTTACAAACTAAATAAAAATAAATAAATAATGGACAAATAATTTAATAAAATATAAACAGTTAACAAAAATTAGTATTATATAAAGGTACAAAAAATAATAGTATAAAAGCAATAATAAAAAATGATATCAAAAAATGATGTATCGATTATTGTGTTAACATGTGCATATAAATTACTAATATGCATATTATTGTACATTAAAAGCAAAATTATATAAGAAGTTTTCAACATGCAAAATAATAAAAAATAATTATGCATTAAAGAAAATACAAATGAATATGATAATAATTAATAATAATATTAATAATTACACTGAATCAAAAAATATATTTTTTATTATAATATGAGACATTTTAAAATGTCTGAAAAAAAACAATTTATTAATTAAAAAATTAAAATAATTAATTGACAATAAACGAAAAATTATTTTTTAGTATTTTGATACAGTGTAATAAGTGTTAATATTAATAGTTAATATACAAAGTGAATATGCAAAATATGTAATATTTAGAGAGAGAAAGAGTTACCTTCTGCCGAGACAGACCCGCACCAAACACAGAGAAACAGACACAGGAAACAAAGAAATGGTGGTTAATTATTATAAAAATATGCTAAAACAAATCTACGAAAGCAACTAAATTATATATAAATAAATGTCAGTTTTAATTTCTGGAAAAATTATGAATCAAATTCCAAAATTACCACTGAAAAATATTAATTTTATATAATATATATAATATATTTTAAGAATGTTAATATATTTCAAATACTTTTTGAGAGTTGATTTTAAAAGCCAATACAAAAGTTGATATATAAAAATATCAATTAAGACTTATTTATGAAATTATAAACAATTTAAATTTATATTAAATGAAGCGAGTTTATATTAGAGATTGAATAAGACGACGTGTGATGAAAATAGAGCTGTATTTCTATTTCGCTTTATCTAAGATAAATTTTAATTAATAATAAATACTAATATTTTTGTAAATTAATTTTTGTATTTTATTCTTTAAAATTGATCCTTTAAAAATGTCTCACGAATATATCATTTTATATATATTTTTAATGATTTTTTTATACTTAATCCCTTAACGCTTATGCCCACACATATATAATTATGTCAAAGCATCAATTTTGCATAAACTCATAACTATTACGAGTACTGTTTATACGATAGTTAATTTGAAAATAACTTATATTCGCCGCTGATATTTATAAATTGCAGTTATATATTTTTTTGAAATATATACATTAACTTTTTGATATTACTTTTCATATATGAAATGAATAAACAATAGTAAATATGAAGAATTTTTTATTATTTATTCTTATTATTTATTTATTAATGATCAATAGTCGGCGTGTAATGCACTTTTTTCTAATATCACGAATATCTAATATCTAAATCACTTTTGATGATTTTGAAATTTTTACTTAATATTGTTTTTATCATTATATTATCATTATTATATCGCTATTAAATTTTTATCTTATTATATAAAAGAATTTTATAACGAAATTCTATTTCATCTCAAAAAAGTAATCTACGATATTTATATTTTTTTAACAATAATTAAAAATTTACAATATTTTTACAATTTTAATTAAATGCAATATATGTCAATTATAAATAAAATGTCTAATAAGATCTCTGATATAAAGTATCAGATAATATATTAATATATTATCAGATAATATATAATATAATAAATATATTAAGAAACTATATAACTATATATAGTTATAAGATAAATAGATATAAACTATATAAGAAATTATGTAAGAAAAAATATATTTTTGAGTGGCAAATAAATTTAAACGTTAAGAGGTTAAATTAAAAAAAATTATCTATTCTAAATAAATATTTAATTTACTTTTAATCCAAATATTACATATTTAAAGATAATTTTAATATAATTATATCAAATATTATTTTTCCATGCATTAGAAATTATTTCCTCTATTAAGAATTTATTTCAATATGCAAATTAATTCGAAAATTTTGTAAATATTATTTTCCAGTAATATTTTCTTTATATATATATATTCATTTAGCTTATAGAAATTTAATTTTAATTAAATTAAATAATATATAATTACTTAAATTAATTAAATATTATATAAATAATTATTATATATATACAGAAAATGAATTATATATATATATAAAAAATAATATTAATAACTTAAAGTTATACACAAATGAGATTTAATAAATAATAATAAATCAAAAATTTTTTAAAATATGGCGTAAAAAGTAACTTTTTTATGCTAATAAAATTATTTTTCTACATGATAGTGTTCTAGAAATTTAAAAATTATTTTTACTTCTTTTAATTAAACTTCTTTTTTAATTTTCTAATAGAAAAGTAATCTTTAAGTATATATAAGTTTATTTTAATATAATATTATAGAAAAAATATATAATAATATATGAATTGTATAATGATATAATAAAAATAAATCATATTATAAAAAATTATATAATAAATAAATAATATTATAAAAAAAGATATTCAGAATTTTAAAAATAAAAAAAAGATAACAAATAATTACAAAAAAAATTTATTATGATAAATTCTTCCTTAAAATGTATACACATATTTTTCTAAATTTTTGTGACTTAGTAATCAGAATCAATTCTATTCTAATATTATAAGTTAGTATATTAATAAGTCTAATCAATGTAAAATATTTAAGTTAGTATTTATTTATTTCTCAATTTTCTATTTAATATTACAAGATATCTATTATTACAATATTATTTATTATTATAAGAAATTATTATTAATTTTATTAAAAAATATAAAGATGATTTCCAAATCTTTTAAGCATCATCATATAAGAAAACATATCACCAATTATAATTAACAATTATATATTATGCAATTTTTTTCATAAAAATTTTATCATTTCATTTTATATAATATAAAATATAATATGCAATTGATATATAGACTCACATTTAATATGATTTTATGAATTTTAGAATCAACATTTTATTTATTTTAGTTTATTAATCTTATTTTATTAATAAAATAATAAATTTATTTATATATCATTCATTCATTCATATCAAAAAAAGCTTCATTCATTGTATTTCTAGATACATTTAAAACACATATTTTAAATATATTATAATAATAATAAAAAATTTAATATGTAATAAAAAATTGATTGCAAAATCACAAAGAATTAGATTTATAATTTATATAATGCTATCTTACATTTAATATCATATTTCAAAAATTATTATGTATATATATATATATATAAATTAATTAATTATATAATTGTTTATATATTACTATCTTTTTTTAGAAAAATATTTTTTTTAAATAATATTATACTTCTAAACTCTTTTCTTAAAATTAATTTTATTCAAAAAAATGAAATATTATTAATTTGTTAAAAGATTAAAAATCTAAATAATAAATATAAATTATATAAATAAAACAAATCTTTATATTTAAAACACATAATTTTAATACTAATAAGAAAATAGATAAAATATATTGTATATATGATTATCTATTATAATTTGTAATACATGTCAAATTAATAAAAAAATTTATATTTTAATTTATTAAAATAAATCATATTATAATAAATTTAATTATAATAAATTATATTTTTTATAAGCATTTCAATTAATTTGCTTCTTATTAAATTCTCTTTATTATTATTTTATATATATTACTTTTATAATATTATAGAATTATTTATGAATTTTTTTTCCATTGTTCTAGTTACAGAAAAAGCAATAACATTGAAAAAAGATATTTACCAGTTTTTTTTCCATTTTAGCTTTAATATCTCGTGCAAGAGTATAAAATGCCTCTTCAACATTAATGCTGGATTTAGCAGATGTTTCCATAAATTTGATTCCATATTCAACAGCAAGTTGCTCTCCTCGTTCTTTTGAAACTTGTCGCTTTTCTGTAAGTTCACACTTATTGCCCAATAACATTTTTTCAACATCTGCTGAGGCATTTTCTTCAATATTTCTAATCCAATTCTTTATGTTCTCAAAACTTTTTTCATTAGTTACATCATAAACTAACATTATACCCATTGCACCACGATAATATGCTGTAGTTATAGTACGAAACCTTTCTTGTCCTGCTGTATCCCTGTATTTTAAAAAAAATATAGGATAATTTTATTTGTATGAATAATAATAAAATTATACATAACAAAATATTTAAAAGATTAAAAGTAAAATATTATTATATAGAATAAATCTCTAACTTAATTATTTTATTTATCTTTATTAATAAAAAATGATAATTGAAAAAGTATTCATAGAAATATTGTACATAATTGTAACATATTGTATGTAACATAATTTGAATAGTTTGATATTTCTTTTCATAAATTTTATTTTTATTGTTTATTTTATTGTTTAAAATTATTTACTATTTATAAAATTTAGACGTCTGAATATCTTTTTATTCTATTTAGAATATTATTTTAATAAAAATAGAATAATTCATTTAAAAAAATGTTATTAGTATGGAAATTTTAAGAAATATAGTCTTGTGAAGAAAAATTGTTTAATAAATCTTAATCTTTTACATTACTAAATAACATTATTATTTAAGATATTTAAGATTATTATTTAAATAATTTTTTTATATTAAAATTATATTAAATTTTTTATATTTATAATTTTTTATTATAAATCTTTTTGCATCATAAAAATTATAGAAATATTTTAAATTTTGATTTTAAATGATGTATTTTTATATCGATATAATTTTATATCAATTCATTCATAAAATTTAATTCTTTTAAGAAATAAAGATTGTTTAAAATTAACTTTATTATTCTTTTATCAAAATTGATTAATTCTTTAATCAAAATTTTTTATCATTCTTTTTAAATGGAATGACATATGAATTGTTTATTATTTAAAATATTGTCATTATATATTTAAATCTAAAAGTTTTTTTTTATGTAAGATACTTTTTATTATGTACGTAAGATTCCTTAATTATATATATAAAATATATATATATTCAAGAATATTTTATTAAGTTTAATGACAGCTATATAAATAATAAATAATTAACTCTTTAAAAAAATGAAAAAGAATATCCCAAATTTATTCTAAAAAATTTGAGCATTAATAATTATCTAAAAAATTTT